AGAGGGGATATATGGACCTCCTAGCCTTGGCACAACAGGATAAACTGGCTGTGAAAAGAACGCAGGACAGGCAACAGTAGGGATCATTAACTAAACAGACAACCCGTTTAAGCCACATGACAATGGAAGCTCAGCAGCCTCAGACACATCAGCAGGAGAGAGTCCAATCAAAAAAGTCTGGGTGAGCAGCAGGTAGTGAATCAGCATAGTTCAACTCGGCAGCGGCCCGGAAATCAGCATTCTACGGCTGGGCAGTGGCCCGGAAATCAACATAGTCTGGCTGGGCAGCAGACAGCAAGTTAAAAGCAGCAGGCTTGGTAGAGGACAGCAGGTCACCAGCAGCAGGCTTGGCAGAGAACAGCAGGTCACTAGGCTGCACCCCATCACCAGGTCGCATAGAGGCAGGCTGAACCCAATTGGCAAGCACAGGGGCAGGCTGAACACCATCAGCAAGCACAGGGGCAGGCTGAACCCCATTAGCAGGAATTGGAGCAGATTGAACCCTATCAACAAGCATAAAGGCAGACTGAACCCCATCAGCAGGCATAGAGGCGGACTGAGCCCCATTAGGTATAGAGGCAGTCTGAACCCCATTAGGAATAGAAGCAGAATGGACCCAATCAGCACGCAGCATAGAGGAGGAATGGACCCCATCAGCAGGCAGCATGGAGGAGGAATGGACCCCATTAGCAGGCAGCATGGAGCAGAAATGGACCCCATCAGCAAGCAGCATGGAGGAGGAAAGGACCTCAACAGCAGGCAGCATGGAGGAGGAATAGACTCCATCAGCAGGCAGCATTAAGAAGGAAAGGACTTCATCAGCAGGCAGCATGGATTCTGGAACTAGCTGAATAATGGTTGAGGCAGCAGTGGATAGTGGCAGGACTGAATGAGCAGAAGAAAACTTTTCTTTTTTTGTTTAGATACTGTAGTTGCATGGTTCTGACCAGAGTGTACTGCTGATGGAAAAAAAGTAACAGTATTTTGGGACTTAGAGGAAAGGGTAACAGAAGTAGAGAAAGATGTCTGAGAAGTTGCTATGGGTCAGATATGCTGATAAATATCAAGAATATCTTCCTTTGTTACCCTTAGCAACCACAGGTGCTAGTGAGTGTTCTTTACTGTGCTCTTCTTTACTGTGCTGTACAAGGCAACATGGACACTGCTCCATTATTAATTGACCCTTAAATGTCAAAAATGTTAATCAACATACCGTGACCATGGGTGATGCAAGTAGTCTTTATGTTTTCATTTATTAAACATTAATCTCAATACCGGCTCTTCATAGTTAAAGAGATGGCCCAGTATGATGGACACAATGGTATTCGCCACAGCAGCATTCATTATCATGGTGTTTTCAAATGGTTTTCCTGAAATTATAATAACTTTTCGAGTTATGTTGAGGTTGGAATAAATAAAATGATTAAAATATTTTTCATAAACTATAATAACCTGTCGTCAGAATTACAGTCTTCAAAAAAACTGTAATACTTTTTGTAATAATTTTGGTTCAATTTATTTTAGATTTACATTTTTAAAATGAAGCATTTATATCCCTATGGGACTATTTATATCAAATCATTATTTTACAAATAAAGATTTATCACATTTATACCCATGACATTGGAGTCATAAAAAATAAATGTTTTCTAAAGAGCAAGTACAGCAGAAACTGTGAATTTCCACTCTTTCGCTCTTAAAACTCTGAAAAGTGAGACGGAGGATTCATTCCACTCATTCATTCAACTGTGTTGTAAATTTGATTTTGAGCTACTGAACTCAGTGAACAGAGCTTATTTAACAGAACACCAAAGAATAGACAAATGTGCAAAGGAGCCTAAAGTTCCATCTGCTGGCTGTGTTAGACAGTACTGTGTACTGCAGCTGCTAGCATTAGACACACATCAGTGTGAAATGCATCAGTGAGGTTGATTTATGAAAGGCAAATAGACTGTACACTTTGCAAATGCAGTCGCTCCAGAGCTTTGTAAATGAAGTAAAGTTTCACTTTAGAAAGAATACCCAATCAAAGAAAATGAAAAAAAAAACTGTTTTCCTTGCACATGATTGCATGATGGAAGTCATCAGAGCTTCACCTCATTTACTAAGCTCTGGAGCAACTGCACTTACAAAGTGCACAGTCTGTTTGCTTTCATAAATCAACCCTGGTGTGTTTGGATTGCTGACTGAGCTTTTAAAGTGATAGTTAAGGTAAATTTTTTTAGTGTAAGTTAAAAAAGATGTTAGGCTTACCTTCTCTGTGCAATGATATCTCACAGAGCGGTCCCTTACCTCCCCTTTTTCAGTCCACCACTGGTGCCATTCGCTCCTCCTTCCTCCAGTTCCCCCTCAGCAAGCCAGGTGCTAAGGTGCTTGTGGATGCGCTCCTGAGCTGGGTTGTGTGCATCCATAGACATAGTGCTGGTAAGCCAAGCCCCAACTCCCACCTCACAGGAGTTTGACTGACAGCAGCAGGAGCATATGGCTCCCACTGCTCTTAGTGTCTCCTGTAAGACTCAGAAGTGAGAGTAGAAGTGCTGCAGTGGGGACAGCGCAGGATCAGTGATTCAATCAAGTAAGTGTTTAGGGATGAGGGAGAGTAGATTTGGTAGTGGCAACTATTTTTTTAACTTAATGCAGAGAATGCATTATGATAAAAAGATGTTTTGAGTTTAGAACCACTTTAATTGCTTTGGAATTATAATACATGGATTGATAATGTAGTGTGGGATTTCTTCTATTCCATGGCCAACAACATCAACAGCATTGATATTATAAAGCAGAGGTCTCCAAACTTTCTAAGCAAAGGGCCAGTTTACCGTCCTTTAGACTTTAGAATGGCTGGACTGTGACCAGTGGGAGTAGAAAATGCCCTGAAATCGATGGGCATCAACAAGGAATTCCCATTGTTGGTATCAATGAGAAGAATAGTGCCCCATCAATGGTGTCAGTGGGCCAAATAGTGCCCTGTTAAAGGTGACTCATTGGTGAAATAGTGTCCCAAGGACCAGAAAAAGGCAAGCCAAGGGCCACAGTTTGGAGACCACTGTTATAAAGTATAAAACCCTGAAATAACCTGTCCACTTATAAGAGATATTCTCTGTAAAGCATATCTCTACTTTTGGATACATTGTGGAAGGGTTAGAACTTTTGTCAGGTTTTTATTACTGTTTGTCAAAGAATTGACAAGAGACAAACCTCCGAAAGATATAAACTTGTTCACCAAACATTCACATTCTTCATTAATTTTGTTTTCAATGGTTTTCTTCCCCATCCCAAAATCTCTTAGTGTTGAAATAGTAAACAAACTGTTTCATCACTTTGCAGTTTTCACCATGAGAAAATATAATACCTAAAAGGAAACTAGATAAAAAAAAAAAATACATAAGGCATGTAATGAACACATTATGCCATGGCCCTGTTTTTTTATAGCTGTATTTTTCAAGACAGCTTCTGGACAAGTTCACTAAAAATGCAATAATTCATTTCAGTGCATGTATGCAAAGTACCTCTACCAGTTATTGGTATTTAGAATCTCTAAAAGAGATCACAGCACTCCCTCTGACAATACATTCCTCTTTTATTCTCTTCCCCGAAGGCCATTACCATATTGGGTCAGGTACTATATATGGTCAGCGTGATCATAAAAAAATAGGAGATTAAGGGAATGCTTTCTCCTGCTTGCAGGAGACTGGTGGTATTATGCTCAGTCATCAATAATATGATGTTAGCTCTAAAGCAAGCTTCAACCTAAACTTTGCATGTTCAACATTTGCGGAGCAACCAGTTTGGCTGGTTTGCCAGCCTGAACTTTAACATCTTGCTGCTTCTGAAGCAAGAAGTGATTCATTTATTGGCAATTTTACTACTTCCCGCTAAATAAATATTTCCTGTTGTACAGGTTGCACAGCATCATTGGCAAGTAAAATGCTGGTGGCCGCTGGCATATTAGCAACAAGCAGAAGATATCGTTGACCAAACATGGTCATGACATCAGACATTTCTCAGCCCCATTGATTACATTCAGCTGGAAGCTGTCAATCATAATATGGAGTTTGTTGGGTTGTGCATGGACACTGTTCTTTTTTTTCACCAGATCATCGGGATCATGACTGATGAAGATCTGCATTACTAGACAACATCATTGACATTGTAGGACTATGAGGGGAGCAAGGTTGGGGGATTAGGCTGTTCCTCGTCGACACAGGGATAAGTTGCTTTCAAGGGGCATTTTCCTTGGCAAGGTACCCTTCCCATGTTGAGGGCATGTGGTGTGGTGTGTATGATTCAGGAGGGGGGTGCACATTTCCTTACTAGCCAGGTTGCATACTTCGATATGTCTACTTCGAGTCTACAGGTAAAATCCAAACCAGACCCAACAGGTCATTGGTTGTTATTAAGGTGCAGATACTAGGCATTTGCACGAGTATCGGTACTCATGCAAATGCACCGATACCTGAAACTGATACCTTCAGGCTTGGTTCTTTCAGCTGTCAGCAGGATTCCTGTAAACAAAAGAATGCCGGCAATTATCATTGTTAACCATTTGCCCTCCAGAGGATTTACCCCCCTTCCTGACCAGGCCATTTTTTTTTTTGTGATACGGCACTGCGGTATTTTAACTGACAATTGCGTGGTCATGCAGTGCTGCACCCAAATGAAATTTAGGTCCTTTTTACCCACAAATAGAGCTTTCTTTCTTTTCTTTCAGTGGTATTTGATTGCCTTTGCGTTTTTGATTTTTTGCACTATAAACAAAAAAATACCGACTATTTTGAGAAAAAAAAACCAATATATTTGACTTTTTGCTATTAAACATGACCAGTAAAAAAAAATTAAAAATCAAATTTCGTCATAAATTTATGTTGTAATGTATTCTGCTACATGTCTTTGCTAAAAAAAAATCCCAATACGTGTAAATTATGTGAAAGTTATAGCGTTTACAAATGGCAGTATATATACTGGAATTTTTTTTCTCTTTTTACTAGTAATAGTGGCACTCAGCAACTTAAAGCGGGACTGCAGCAGGCATTCTGACACTGGGGGGAACTTACTTGGTATCACTGACATCCCCAGTGACACCAATATAGGGATCAGTGCTAATAAAAACAACTGACACTGTACTAATGGCACTGGGCAGGAAGGGGTTAACATGTGGGGTGATCAAAGGGTTAACTGTGTGCTGTTTTACTATGAGGCTGTATGCAGAGCCATACTAAGCAGTGTTCATCAGCTGACAGGACACAATGGAGGGAGGAACATCCTTGTTCAGCCCAACAGGTGAAGACTCTCTTCTCTTTCAGCATTTAGAGCTCCCCTTCTCCCTCCACTGTCTCTGCTACAGAGCAGCCCATCATTACCTCCTGTGCTGCCTGAGAGGAGCCCAGTGCTGACTAGCTAATGAGGAACTCGGGATTTAACCCTGTGCTGCCTGTGCGAGAACTGGCTGAGGCTGTAATTAGAAGTCCAATGTTTAAACCTGTGCTGCCATCTATGTGGTCTTTTATTAAACTCTCCAGTATCTTCCCAACTATAGATTTTAAACTAACAGGTCTATAATTACTTGGTAATGATTTTGATCCCTTTTTAAATATTGGCACCACATTGGCCAATCCAGGGGAACTATGCCAGTCATTAAAGAGCCCCTAAAAATTAGAAACAATGGCTTTGAAATGACAGAGCTCAATTCTTTAAGGACCCGAGGGTGTATGCCATCCGGTCCAGGTGCTTTATTCACCTTTATTCTGTCTAAATATTTTTGGATCATATCAATTGTGAGTCAATGTGGATCATCTGGAGCTGTGTCAATACCATTTCCATTATGGGCAAGAGCTCCCCCATGCTCCTTTGTATACACAGAGCTGAAGGAGGTATTTAATAAATTTGCCATCTCTTTGTTCCCAGTCACCCACTCTAGATTATTTTGTAAAGGTCCTACATGCTCGGACCGGACCTTTTTACTATTAATATATTTAAAGAATTTTTGGGGGTTGGTCCTGCTAACTTTTGCAATCTGTCATTCGTTTTCAATTTTTGCGGCCTTGAATTCCTTTTTTACATATTCTGTTATATCCTTTGTAATGTTTTAAACGATGATAGCGTTCCTTCATTTTTATACTTAATAAAAGCTATTTTCTTATTATTTATAGCTTTTTTAATTTTGGCCGTAAGCCACATAGGTTTGATTTTTACCCTTTTAAACTTGTTACCCATGGGAATATATTTTGCAGTGTGTTCACATACAGTCTTTTTGAAGAACTCACATTTCTGTGTTGTGTTCATCGATATCAATATTTCCTCCCAGTCTAAGTCTTGGAGAGCAGCTCTCACCCTTAGAGAAAATTAGCTCTCTTAAAGTTGAGTTTTTATTTTTTCCCAGATGTGGTTGTTGTTTACAGCTAACAACAAATGAAATCATGTTATGGTCACTGCTACCCAGATGTTCTTTTATATGGACATTCGTAATAAGCTCTGCATGGTTTGAGATTACCAGGTCCAGCAGAGCATCATTCCTAGTTGGGGCCTCTATGAACTGTACCATAAAATTCTCCTGTAGTAGGTTTATACATTTTTGCCCTTTAACTGTTCCTGCAGTACCATTACTCCAGTCAGTTTCCAGGTAGTTCAAATCCCCCATTATTATCCCCCTTATTGTTTAATTGCATAATAATACGTTTATTCACAAAATATTTGTCCCACAATTCAAATGCCACTATGACTGGAAAAAGTTCCAGGAAAACAATGATCTTTGTAACCTTTTTTAAAACCCATGAGAGCGGCCATATACTGCAACACCAATGAGCCTGCTGCATTCTTGAACAATTCGATATTAACTGCTGAAACAAATTCCTCAAGAAAAAAAGTATCTACCATTGTAGGAATTCGAAAACTGAGACCAAATTAATCAATGTGCTTTAAGTTCACTATTCAAACTAATGGCAGGGCTCAGCTGGTTCAGGTGAAGACAGGTGGGCAAAGGCAAAGTCAGACAGTCCGGGTTGGCAACTAGCAGGCAGATCAGGCATCAATGGCAGGCAGAAGAGTAATCAGGAGTCAAGTCATGGGTCAGTGCGGACAGCGTTCTGGTAGAGTCAGTGGGTGATTGGGTCTGCAACAGAGGAGCAATACAGGAACAGATGCACGGATGCTAAGGAACGTTGTAGACCACATGGCACTGACACAAGGAACTAGTGCAGTTTAAATAGCCTGCCTGGCGCTAATGCACTGCCACACAAGCGCATATGCACGTGCCTGTGTGCGCGCTCGCACACGCACACCCACTAACCGGCTATAAGCAGTGCTTATAGGAAGTCTGCACATAAGTATGCATGTTCCCTGACACAAAGACTGGTCCAATCTATTGATGATACATTTACTAGGGGATGGCCACTAACAAAAGGAATGCAAATACTCAAAGCGAATGGCTCCCAGTTCCCAGTCGTAGCTTATCCGGCTCTTTGGTGGGTGTCAGTGTTATGTCAGGAATCAGCAGCTGGGATGACCAGGTATACTGTATGTAGCTACACACAGAATTGGGAGCAGACCATAAGTACTGTATATATTTTTAAAGTGATTCAAAAATTACGGTGCAGAGCAAACTCTTCAGCCTCAAAAATATAGGTAATCGGCGGCAATTAATTCCACAACCTGGTGCATCAAATCTAAAAACACCTCAAACCATGCATACCTTATGCATAATATGCACATTGATTTATCACTATCAGATCTCACAGTTTTATTATGGCATAACACATTCAGGGATCCACACTAGTTTAGCATGGTTTGAGGCAGGGACGGACTGACAACTCATTGGGCCCCCGGGCAATAGGGGATCATGGGGCCCCTGTGTCCTTGCCCAAACTCAAAAAAGCCTATTAAAAAGGTACCAGGGGCATCTCATGGGGCCCCCTACTGACCCCGTGCCCTCGGGTAGTGCCCGAGTTTCCAAATGGTCAGTCCACCCCTGGTTTGAGGTGTTTTTAGATTTGCAGCATTAGGTTGTGGTATTGAATTCCTACAGATTACTTATGTTTTTGAGGCTGAAGAGTTTGTGCTGCACCATAATTTATTGAATTACTCTGTACACTGTGATGTGTCATACAGTAAAGTGCTACAGTAAGGTGCTTGCAGCATTTCTTCTTAACTTTATTCAGATTAATTTTTGCTTTTGGCAGTGCATGCGTTAATATATTTATCTTTAAAGTGAGATATATTTATGGTGGGTGTAAGATAACTACACACCAGCAAAGCAATAAACATGAAATACTTGAAAATCAGAGCTTTATTCCAAAATGCAGAAACCTAAACAACTAAGTAAATACACAATATACTGTATATACAAATGAAACCAAAAGAAGCAAAACTGGGAAAGGAGCAAGGTACTGGGTACAGGGTAGGATCAACAGTTAATGGTAATGGAATCCGGCAGTAGCACGGCAAATAGGGTACAAGGTAGGAAGAACCATAGCAGAAGTGGAACTTAAGTACCCTCCCAGTAGGTGTGGCCAAGTGAAGTTGAGTGCTGGAGCCTGCTGACAGCTGGAAGATACCTGCTGGTGGACACTAAAACTGAAGCTCTATACTCAGGGAAGCACAGTGCCACCAGCAGGTGAACCAGGTCATGACAGCCCAGCTATCACAATGGATTTTGTTCATCCCTTGTGATAGCAATAAAGTTGATAAAAAAAATTAAAGAGAGAGTATAAAAAATAAATTTAAATAAAATAAACAATAAAATTAAAAAAATAAAGCACCCCCATCCCCCTGTGCTCACACATGTGAGGTATTGCCACAAATGTCAGAGAACGAGCAATAATTCTAGCACCAGACCTCTGGTTATTCTCAACTGATAACTTGTAAAGGCTTTAAATCTTCGCCTATGGAGATTTTTAAGTAATATAGTTTGTCATCATTCCATGCGTGTGGGCAATTTTAAAGCTTGACATGTTAGGAATCTATTTACTTGGGGTAAAATCATCTTTTACATTTCACCAAAAGTTGGGTATTATATTGTGTTTATGTTCACTAAAATTTCTTAAAGTGTATTTTTCCTGACAACTTGCATTTGATAAATGACTGTGGAAATACTGTGCAACAAGCAAAATTGAAACAACCACCATTTTATTCTCCAGGGTGTTTGCTTTCATAAAATATATATTGATTGGAGGGTTGTAAATAATTTTCTAACAAAAAATTATGATTTTTACATATATGAGAGAAATGTTGGATTTGGACTGGATGGCAAGTGGTTAACTAAAAGTAATAATAACAACACTGGTTTAGGCTTTTACTGGAGCTTGCAGGCCAATAGTTTTTTTTTTTTTTTTTTTTTAATTTAAATATTTATTAATTTTTCAAAAATAATATCAAACACTTTCATCATATTCATAATAAATACACATAACTATTTCTTATTACTTTTCTTTTTTTCCCTCTTAGAACTGCTCCCCCTTCCCCCTCCCCCCCCAACACCCCCCACTCTGCATTCTTTCCCAACATCTCATCCAAAGCAAGAAGAATATCCTACCCATCCACCCACTCTATATCATCCTACATTTCACTTTTTCACGTTTACTCCACATTTTTCCCATTTTTCCCATTTCGCATAGTATATCTCCATCTTATCTTCCTGCATGTAATTGAGCTTCTCCATCTTACTAATCCAGTTCACTCTTTCTATCCAATCCTCCTCTTTCGGTACTTCTATTTTCCTCCAATACTTAGGGATCAGACTTTTTCCAGCATTCAAATAATACCCTAAACCTAATTTCTTATATTTGCTAACTGATAGCTCTGCACTATGCAGCAAACACATCCCTGGGTCTATCCCAATTTTTATCTCAGTTATGATCTCAATTAAACGTACTATTGTTTTCCAGAATACTTGAATTTTTGGACATTCCCATCAAATGTGATAAACTGTCCCTACTTCTCCACATCCTCGTCAACACCATGGTGATTTTTCACCACTTATCTTATATTCTAAACTTGGTGTAATGTGCCATCTTATCAAACATTTATAATTTATTTCTACATCCCTCAAACTTACATTTTCATGGACTAATCTATTTATTTTCTGCTGTTTATCGTCATCTAATACCACCCCCAAATCTCTTTCCCATTTCACTATGTGCATTGGTTTTGTGTTTGTGTCTAATTCTGTGAGAATTCTATATATTTTAGCTGTGCCGTATTTCCCATCCCCCCCATGAATCCAACAACCTTTCAAACAAATTCCAATCTTTTTTCATTCTCAGGGGCTTTGGTAGATTTCCCCAAAAACTTTTTAATTGGTGATAACGCCACCCAGCTAACCTAGTAAATATATTTCCCTTTTCCTTTTCCAGATCTTTAAAGGGCTTTAATTCCCCCTCCCCCA